CTTCTCTGACAACAATAGTTAAGATATGTTGAAGATGCCATGCTTTAGGAGGCATATCTGATATGACTACCATATTTTTAATACTGGTTAATATGGAGATTATTTTCATCTTGCTTGTAGTTGATCATTATTAAAAGCGCCACCACTTGGCTTGTCAAACAGGTTCTCGTTAAAAATGCTTTAGGAGGCATATCTGATATGACTACCATATTTTTAATATTGGTTAATATGGAGATTATTTTCATCTTGCTTGTAGTTGATCATTATTAAAAGCGCCACCACTTGGCTTGTCACACAGGTTCTCGTTAAAAATGTGCCACCCGATCCTGATGAAACAGTGAGCGAATCCGTTGAGCACTTTTTCCTGGTCAACCATCCAGATCACTATCTGACTCATCAGGTTTGTTCCATTCATAATTCAACACATCAATGATTCTGGGCTACAATTATCTCTGGAAAAAGATGATGCAACTTCAATTATTTTGGGTTCCCATGTGTGTTGAATCTCTCACATTCTTCTAAGAATTTTTTTTTTGATAGGTTACGGGCAATGTCACTTTTTTAATATCCTAACCTTAGTCTCAAGATAATTTTTTTGAAAAGTGCAAGTGATTGCTGAAGAACAAACTAATCCAGGAGGTTTTTTGTTAAAATATTCGCCTTGGAACAAGTTTCATTGAATGCAGAGGCTGGCTGGCTCATATAATGTATGGAAGTTTGTAATGTGTTAATGTGGCACAAGCTAACCCATGTTATTATTATGTTTGTGGTATGGAAGCGTTATGAATTCTTGTAATAAGAACCGAAATAAGAAAAATCTAGGAATAACTTGCTTGTATTGATTGAAGAATAATTATTGATGATGATGACTGTTGATATGAAAATTGTACAATAGCTCCTATATATATAGGCAAATTATCCTCTACTCCTAATAGTATTAGGAAATTGAAATAAGGAAACTAGGAAACTCATAAAATTCTAATGTAATTAAAACTCATATTCTACTCAATAAAGAAACTATAGGGTCTAATAAAATATAAAAGTCGTATTACAAAAAAACTAAATAGAAAATAAACTCCTAAAAAGGATAAAAACATATTAGTAGTAGGAAATCAATTGTAGTTGTAATGTACTACATCAGTTTGTCTTGTAATCTGTACCTATCATTAAAATCATGTATAAGTCCTGCTTTAAGTTTTGATTCTCAAGTACAAATTTTTTTCAACTGTATATTATAAAAAAATCTCCTCTGTGCCCCTGGTATGTCATGCATTTTATGGAAAATCAGTTGCCAGCTGTTTGTTTTGTGTCATTTCTCAAATATACTTCTATGCCTTTTGGTTAAATTTTGAATTTAAGTTGGACTGAGAAACATTTATTTCTAAAGAACTGGCCTTCTTTGTGAATATAACATCAGTTATTGTTATTTGCATCTGTATTCTATTGATAGAAGATTTCTGCAGGTTGTATGCAATGCCAATAAGCTTGCAGAACTGGTCAAGGAGAAGAAAAAAAAGCAAAATTGGCTTGACTATTACCAATTAAAGTATTCGAGAAATCAATTGAAACGGCCAATGACCAAGGTATTGTTATGCATAAAGTGTTCTATTTGTTGCCTATAATGTTGAGATTTTCTCAAAATCCAGATTCACTACTTTTTTAAATGCTATTTGGTTCTACATATGATTTAAAGGGTTTTATTTTTTAATTTCCAAATTTTACAGACTGGTTTTCTTGGTCTTTGTGGAGAGAAAGTAGATGCAATTGATTATCAGACAGCTGAAATTGAGAGACTATCGAAAGAAGTAAGTGTGGGTTCTCAAATTTTTAATATTTAGATCTATAAAGCTTCAGAAAGGTCTAGTCATTTTAAAGTTATCTTTTCCATTTATACTGCTTTTTGCCTTTCCTAATTCTTTCTTCTTACCCAAGCATGGTGAAAGTCAAAAGCTCCTAGCCTGACTGTTGATAATAAAACTAGTCATAAATATGTGGTCTATTCAGATCTTCCCAGTTATATATATTCCTTTGAAATATGTTTTTTGGTTGCGAGGCAGCTAAAGAGGGCTCCTTTCATAGGATTGATGCGCTTTAAGAGAGGGAGAAGTTGATAAAAGTCACCGACTTCAAATTTACCGAGAATAAATTCCTATTTTGTTGTTGGATGCTGGATGCTACCAAATTGTTAATGGCATTTTTTATCGCCTTGATCTTTTTTGGGTTCTACATAAGAAAATTAGCAAATTATTGGAGATTTAGAAGTTAATCTGCCGCTTTCCTTAGTCACCATAATGTTTGATCAACATATCTATTGTGCAGCAACTACTTGATTAGTGTCTTCAAGAAGCAATACAAAAATGAGGACGTTTTCTTACAATCGCTTATGTTATTCTCCCTTTCGTCATATTCATCAAAAGCATTAAAAAACTG